GACCTGATCATGTTGCCATAGATCACCGAAATTTATGCCGTCGTCAAAGGGTTACATGACGTTACGTCACTTAATGACTTCATTACATTACTTCGGCGCTCGGTCAAAAGTATAGGCCGATCGCGCCGCCAATTTGAGCGCGTGAGGTGCTAAAAACTTAGCAATGCTTCCGATTATTGAGACAGTTTGAGGCCATGTTTGGTGCAGGAAACCTTCGATAGAAGGCGGAGAAGAATCGCTGCACGGAGCTAGAAGAATAAATCAGAAGGCGAAGAAGATGGTTTTCGCCTTTCACTCGTTTTAGGCGATGGCGTAAGGGAGTTTTTCCGGGTTCCGGCAGAGAATAGCGGAAATGAATTGGTCCTGGCATTGTGCAATGCGCGGTCCACTTTACCGCGAGGGCGGTCGATTGACCCGTTCCAGATCGATCGTCTATGGCTCCGAAAGCCAGAGAGGACGTTAATGAAACCGTCGTTGAGTCACTTGCGCGTAGGTGGCCTGCCATTAGGTGGACGGCGTTTCGTGTTCTTGTTGCGCGACCTGGAGCACGCGAGCGACATGTATTGCTGGCCCTCTAAGCCCACAAGGATTGTCGATCTCTCCCTTGCGTGGCCAAAGTGTTTCGCTCGCATTTGCGCGTCACAGTCAATGCTCTGGACCGCCGTTAGCGAAAAGAGCCCGGGATTCGGAGGGCGCGTGTTTAAATAAAGCGAATAGAAAAAAATAACTAACGAAAAAACAAAAATAAAAAAAATTGTAGAAATCGTAAAAAATCGTAGAAATCGTAAAAACAGCGACCTCTCAATCCGCAGCGCGCGAAGCTAACCACTAGGTCACGAAGCGTTTGTTTTCAATATTGCTAACGGCAAGCTATTTAAATACACCGCGTACCGCATGGCGGTCCTCAGAGCTCCGCAACGTCTGCGCGTTTTTGTAAGCTGTAGCGAGGTGGCGCGAAGGTTTCGCTTTGGGCGCTCTGTGAAGGTCGTCGCCCCTTTGGTCTCGATGAGCGCTGCCTCCGCGGAATGTGGTCTCTCCAACGCTCGCGCTTAGCAGACTCGTGAGCACGAAGGTCTCTGTTGTAGCCGCGTTTACGAAAGAAGCACGCTGCTCACACATGACACAGGAAGAATTGTGACAGCTATTCGCGGTTGTCCTGTGTATACTTGCGCCTCGTTTCGTTCGTCTTTCCCTGTGTTTGAACAGCGCGCGTTTTGAGTGTCGACCTGTGAGAATTAGTCCGCGCACGTCCTACATATGCTTATTTCGTGCGTGCTGGAGTAGCTTGTCCGGTGAAAAGCCAAGCAAACTTTCCAGCTCTCCATTAAAATAATTATCTCTCTCTATTTCTGCTTGAGGTGCGTGCTGCTAATTTCGAGCTGGTTGTCGTCTTTCGCGTGATTTTGCGATTCGTTGTTGTAGCATTCATTGCTGCGCCCCTGTGGCGAAACAATGCGCAATAAGTAGTCAAGTACTTCTGTGAAGACACGTAACGTTTCACTATTCTGTTCGCAGATTCTTTCTAACACTATTGATTGATAAGCTGGGCTTAAGTAAAGGTGTCAAAAGTTAAGTCTTTTGGAGCGTCTCAGTTTGGTAGCCAATGCTGCAGCAGAAGGTGCGAAAGTGCCACATAGGCAGAGCGAAGAGCCTGCAAGGAATATCGTCGCAGCAGAAATGTGTGAAAAATTTCCCTATATTGTAATATTCCGTCGTAACATTTTCATTCTCTCAAAACAATATAATTGAGTAATTGCTGTGGTGACGGACAACTTTGCCTTAATTGTTGGTTTCCCAGCACGCAGCCAACAGTGACCACTGTCTAAAGTGAGGGGGGGGGGGGGGGGGCTCGCGCTTTCTTTGCACTCCCCCTCGGCTGATACGGCTATGACGGTAACTACAGGAATAGTGGGCACACCACCGTTTCACTTTGTCCCACGTGTGTCAGTCTTTCCAATTACGACCGATCGCTGCCGGTGTCGCCATCTAAACTGTTTATACGTGCAGACAAGAATGGACACAGTACTACCGTATTTACCACACGGCAAATCGCCATATTGTGCGAGCGGTCACACTGGTGCCTCCCGACGTCAGCGAGGCCCACACCACGCCAGCGTGGGCCAGTTTACACAGGATCAATAAAGGCTGGCCGTCATCGGTTAAATCACGGTCCATCTCGAACAAACGCTGGCAAGTCGTCATCGCTTGAACTCCGGCAAATTCTCATCGGTGCAACGCCGGCTAGCCGACATGGGACCGATGTGATTCAAAGTGGCGCGAGCGTGACATGCCGGCATGCCGACATATAGCTACCGTTGTTTTCCGACATTTTGAACGCGATCAACCTAATGCCAGCGTTTTGTAACCGTCGGGATTTTAGGGGCAAAGCTCCTTAAGGTGTGGGTCTGTCCGTCCCTCGTATGTATATGTAGTTGTACGTAGCCACTGGTGGCACATACCCGCTCTGGGGATGCGAGATGGGAGATGGCGGTACTTGGAGTGTTCACTAGATGGACGCACGGACGGATGGACAGACAGACTAGCAGACAGACGGATGGATGGATATACGCGTGGACCCATGGACGGATGAACGCACGAACAGACAGACTGACATGAATGGACGAGTTCACGGACAGATGGATGGACGCATGGATAGACGCATGGATGGTCGCGTGGACGGACGGAAGCGAGAACGAACGGACGGACCGAAGCACGGACGTGCTGACGGACGCTTCGCCCCACTCATCACCATTCACTCCGTGGATATGCTGTGATTTTTTTTTAGGTTATAACCGCGATGACTGCACAGAGTGCTTCAGCAGTACGTACAACGAGATTGTACAAAAAAAAAACGGCAATAGTTAAGGTAACGATGCCTGCGGGAAAATCCCGAAGCGATGGAATGTTAACGTGAAGGACGGCGCGCCCGTAAATTTGAGAACGGTCGTCTATGTGAAATGCGAACGCTTTATTTCAGCGCTAGTTTCCGTCTCTGGATTTTGCACACACGTATGTGACCCTCAGTGGCTAAAACTCAAACTTCTGTGGGCTGAGAAGCAACCCCAAAACAGCATTTAGCAAAATTGTAGCGTAACCTATACGCAACAAACAACCTAGAAGCAACCAGATTAGACTTCAGAATTGTCCAGCTTTGTTGTTTCATACCTTGAGTGATTTGTGTAAGCATCGCCATTTTTTATATCCATGCGGGTGCTTGTATGTACACACGCACAATAAAAAGATGGGAAATAGAGTTCACCCTCTCCCTGACTACGACATTGGCAAGCTCACTTGCATACTCATGCGGAAGGGCGCGCACCCAAGCAAAATTCCGACATTACCGTGGCCTTCGCTCCGTATCTATTCATCGGCGTCTGTATAGCCATTTGAGACATGTATGAAAATATTCTTGCACAATGTGGCGTCTCCAATTCATGTGACTCATGCCGCATTCCATTTCCACTGCAACAGTCCTCAGACCTTTCTCTTTCATTTCAAAAGTAAACGGGAGACAAAGTACGTGCATTCAAAGATTTTGCCTGTGCCATGAGCAGTTCTGACACACCCCGATACAACGCAGGAGCAGGTGTGGGCGCCTACAGCAATCAGACCCTTTTTATAATCCGCAAGAGCGCGCTTCTCTGCACTGCATCTTGACCCTAATAATGGCGGCATCAGTCGTCCTTCAAGCGGACGCGAGGCCCAAGCGTGATGTGTATGCGTCTTCCTTGTCACAGCGTGAGCAAGCGACGTAACACGCGGTTTACGTCGTGTAAGCTGGATTTTCTGCCATGCCATGTGCATTGCAAAAGAGCCAGCTTTAAATTTATGACAAATGTTGGTAAGTCCAACAAAAATGACCGAAGAAGCTACATGGCTTCAGCCACACATTAAACGTAGTAAATCAATTGAAAAATTGTTTCTCGGTCAATGTAAAACCCGGAGTCGTTTTTGAAACCTCTTCTCTAAGGCTTGCAATCAACGTTTAAAGATGTCAAAGTGGCTCTAAATTCAGACCGCTCCCATAGGCTGCGTGCAAAATATTCAGATGTCCTGAGAAAGAAGGCGCTTATTGGCATGTTATTTAGTTAACCTTGAAATATTCTAGTGGTTTCGTAGTATCTCAAACCGGGAGTCGTTTTCAATATCGTGTCTCGTTCGTGAGATATGATTGTTTTTCGTGCGATTCCCCTTGTGTTACGGTGGGGCGCACCAGCCGCCGCCGAGAGATGGCGCGACATGTACATGTCTAGAGATGCTGGGGATTGGCTTGGTGTGGTATCTGCTCAAAAAAATTCGTAGAAGATTCCAGAACGCCATTCTTTTAGTATTAGCGACCACAAGGAATGTTTCTGCCGACCTTAACTTGATTAGTTTTTTCCGTGTGTGCGTAAGAAAACTCGCTACACGTGATTAATTTGCACCAGTTTTCATCGTTCTTTTTTGTTTTTCCATAGTCAGATAGTGTTTAGTACTGTTTAGTTTAGGTTCATGCTTTTTCTTTAGTTTACTAACTACAGTGTGCTCAATACTAGCAGAGGGTTTGAGCCAGTGGTTTTAGGCAACAACAGCAGTACGATTCTGTTGATGATTTCCTTTATTTTTGCCATGCAAAAAGGAGGAAGGGAGCTCAGACGAAAAGCTACAAAACTGTAGCTTGAATGTGCCTGAGGACCAACAGAAATACATTCGTGCGACATAACGGCAGAAGAAACTAGACGCAGTCAGCGAGCAAAAATTGAAACACATTTCACATTTAGGTGTAATGAAACATACAAGGAATGGATACTAGTGTAGAAATACGCATGTTGCAACGAAAAAAAAAGAAGTACTCGGCAAATATAAGACACACACAGAAACAAAAGCAAGAGATATATGCACAACCTTACGAAAAATAATTTATGCTCGTTAGGTGTCAGGGTGAGTATGTCGTCTTTTTCATATTCGTCACGAATGGCCCGTGGCACGCTCACTAGCTTCGTCTTCTGTCGCAGGTCGGTTCGGCGGTGAGCTTCTTCCGAGAGGATCAGCCGCCGGGCCATGACGACCAACCGACTGGCGGCACGAAGCTGGCCAACGCTGCAGCAATGTCGACGACAGCCGGTGGCGAGTCCCGCGTGAACTGACCGTCTCTCGTACCGCCGCTGTGAGTACCGCTTGCCACCGAGGGCCGCCGGGGGCAGTGCCCTCGGGCATTACCGTGAGTTATGCCTCGACATTGAGGGAGTTTTAGTAACGGAGTTGCCATGCCGCCTATAGTTACTACATGCGCTCTTGCGTTCCTTTGAATCCCCAGCCCAGCGCCTACTCTACATTTTATCAATGTCAGCCAGATGCGCCCAATCCAGACGTCACCACCCTCGTCTCGGGCCCTCTCCTGCTCTCGTCCATCGCCTAGCCTTCGCGGTCATGGCGAAGGAAGCACCTCATTCCATTCCTCGGGACGAGTATAGCATAAAGTAATTTTTTTTTTCAGCTGTGCACAAATCCGTGGGGCGGCGTCTTGCATTCCTCGTTATCACAGTGTTGGCGATCACGCTGGCTGTGTAAGTCATAGGGTGCTTTGAGGTAGCATGTCGCCGTTCGCGGCGCTATGCGGGCAACCAATGGGGACGTGTCACGGTGACGCCGTTGCATAACTAACGCTTTGAGGCGGCGGCCGCGGCATTGCCCCCAGCCACAAATAAAGAGCATGAAGGAAGAAATCTGACAGACATATGATATATATATTGCAAAGGGACACACGGCCATCTCGCCTCCGTGGGAAAGCGCTCAGACCTACGTGTGACGCAAGCAGCCCTGCCCCCGATGTGGCGTCGCATCACGACCATTCTTTAACATAAAACTGACCAAGCTTAGGGCTCCCGTTCAAGTGTGCTCGTTTACACTGGCACTGAATGAAATAAAGGAGGCGTTGCCCAGCCGCACTGATCGAGAAAACAAAACTGTAGTACTGATATACGCGATCCGCTTACGGATACCGGTTATAAGAGTTCTAGTGCCGGGGTCCCAAAACTCCTTGCGTACGGAAGTCCTTGGGCTCCTTTGTGTTCTCGTCGAATACGGCTGGGAGTGCAAAGGAATGCAAGCGGCTTTGTGCCAGTGGCACTAAAACTCTCTATTAGGGAGTGTTAGTGCCGCGAGCTTTTGCGTTCTTTTGCATTCTCCTTAACGCACAGGGGCTGACGAACAGAATAACGCAGAAATGTGGACGCCCAACTGCCTAGGTGTTCTCTCGTTACTATAATTTTCTGTTAGATACTTTTAGTGCCAGAGTTTCCAAGGTCCTTAGTTCTTTAGTACTCTACCTACTTTCTTATGTTCCTCAGCCGCGTGAGGTACAAAGAAAGCAAAAGAACGCAAGGAGCTTGGAATACTCGGGCAGTTTGTAGGCCGCGACCCTAAATCTCACTTGTTAATGACGAGAAACTTTAGTGCTTCGGAGGCTTGTGCTGCTAGGCCGAAGTGACACGCCGCGCGCCAGTCAGTTTCTGATAGCGACAGCACTGCACTGATTGATCCGGTATCTGGACATGTGACCGGCTGCGTAAACATCATGGGCGCCGCCACCTGAGAAGACGAAAAAAAAACGAAACACATGGACGCAGTGAACATCCGCAAATGGCGACGATGTCAGACAGCATAACGCGAAACTCCGTGCGAGGACAAGCTCTATAGTGTTCGGGTGGCTCCTCGCGTATCAGATCAAAACATGTTTTTAAAGACGATAGTCTTTCTTGGGGACTTTCGACGCAAAAATATTGGTCTGTCTGTCTGTCCGTATGTTTGTCTGTTTGTCCACTCCTAACGGCATCGGGTACTTGAAACGGTTGACCCCAGCCGCTGCGCCCACCTATGTCGCTCGAGATTTAGGGTTCCTGATTGTGCAATTGTCAATCAAAAAGCAATTTTTGCGCATGTCCGGGGTACCATAACAACACGTATATATCTGCATGTGCGTCTCTTACTAGAAAAAGTACACATGAGTAATTTTAAGGACCATAGCGCTTATCGCACTCCGCTGACCATACAACGCTTGCACGGAAAGGTGAGTGTTTCCAACGCTTTGCTAAAACGAAATGGTTGTGGCACCTACCCTCGCCTTGCGTTCTACACCTTATCACCTCTGAGATGGGCGCGCACACCTGTCTCAAAGCCGCGTGCTTTTTTTTTTTTTTAATTCTACGCCTGTGCTTTGTAGGTATACCCCTACATTCTCGCGATGGTTTTTCCTGGCCCTATAGTTGCGGTGTAGGCTGAAGGCCATGATACTGTATGGAATATCCAGGCGCACTTCAGTAGCTATGAATAGGACTATGGGTAACGTGTGTATCCGCGAGCGCCGCTAATGTCCGTTCATGACGTATGTATAGAAGGAAAATAAGACGGCGAATAGGCGCTAGCACAGAGGCGGTTTGTGCAAACTGTCGTCTATTTAGAGGCGGCAGGCGTGGACCACTCGAGCCGGGCACTCCTGCAACTAATTGCGGTTTATCGATCCGACTTATATCGGCTGCCGACAAGTATATCGCTCACGCACAGCAACACTCTCTGCACGATCGGTGTATACGCGCAGCTGCTGCCACTGCGCAAGCTTGTGTTTTTTTAAAAAAAAGCTACCCCGAAACGCACATATATACGTGTGCATGACTCGTCGCCCGTGCATTCGCAGAGACGAATAGCGCTGAAGGAACGCTCATTATTGCACGCCTTCTTTATTTGCATTCTACCTGTAGTAACAATATCCTGAAAGACCCGACCGAGGATTTCCATGTATGTAAAACAGGTACAGGCGCCGTCGCGATTCGGAGCCGCTTGTTGCGACGTCCATGTCGCGTAGGCGGTGCTCGGAGGCAGCTTTGCAGCTGTTGTGCCAGTGGTCACGTGAGCTTAACGGGTAGTGGCGAGCTGTGGGCTCGACGGAGCCTATGCGTCGAGGACGTCTCAACAAGCGGCTCTGTCTGCAATGGGTCTATTGCGTGGAATAGGTGCATTGCAGTCGTTTGCAAGACTGCCTGTAGCTCGTCGACCTCATTCTAGATTCCCGTAGGGCAACATGCCGCTTATGTTTAGTGCAACGGGCATCGAGGGGCACTACTGTTTCTTTATAATAATAAAACAACGATAAGAGAAATGCCGTTCTCCGAAAATTTCCATCATGTCTTTTTTACGCGCATTGATATCGCACAGCGCATGGGCCTCTAGCATTTCACCTACATCGAAATGCGACCGTCGCGACCGGATTCGAACCAGCGACCTCCGGGTCAGCAGCCGAGCCCCGTTAACCACTGATCCACCGCGGCTATCTCTGGGTGCTCTTCCAAGCAGACCTCGCGTTGCCTTCACTTCCGGCTCTCTGGAATTCTCATAAAGTGTGTTCTAGAAACATAGAAATCCATGGTTTTGCCTGCAGTTGAGATATTTTGGATACGTTTGCTATCGCAGCATAACCTAATACAACGGCTTTGCCTCTATTGTCTCTATTATTAGTAATATCTGGGGTTTGACATCCAACAAAAATGACGATGTGATGATGAGAGACGCCGTAGTGGAGAGCTCCGGAAATTTCGACCACCTGGGGTTATTTAACGTGAACCTAAGTTTAAGTACACGTGCCTCAAATTAACATTTTCGCTTCCATCGAGAATGCAGCAGCCGCAGCCGGGCTTTAATATCTCAAGATGATCGATGACAATTGATTGACCTCATGGAAATATTGTCAAGTACTGGTATTGTTGCGGCACCTTGCGGAGGAGATCCCAAACGCGCTTCTTTCTGCGTGAAGTCTGGGATCCGCTTCGGCTGTGCGCGGAACATAAGGTAACCCTGGCAATGCACCAGCGCTCACGAACGCCGAGGTGCGAGTGTTATACTACCTGACAAACAAGTCAAGGATGGTGGGTCGCCTCCATTATTTTTTTGCTCATTCTTGTTGTTAATCTATCTCAAGTTTCCTCCCGTCATCTCCCTCGCCTGTCCGTCACAGTGTGCTCGCGGTGGCTGTCGCAATCGCGCGCTGCGCCCTTTGCCGCCGCTCTGGATGGAGCGTAAAATGTCGCTGCCGAAGATGCATCCTATACAACCGCTTTTTAACCCGTTCGGAACAATTTCACGGTGTTTCAGAAGCTGTATCCACCATGATTGAGAAATAACAGAAAGGAGCTATCTGCATGCTACCTGTGGCTTCCCTTAATAAATACTGTGGTAGATGGCATCCTCACGTGCGCACATTCATTAATTACGGCAGTGCTTACAAAGTTAATAAGCCAACTTTTTAACCAGTGGAAATAAATGGTAGATTCCAAGGCTGAATTGAAGTCGTTTCTATGAATAGTCGATATAGCCACTTTAAAATTTCTGGACGGTAGCCACTGGTAATCACCGCGGGGCGATGAAATCTGGCTAATTTATACACTCGTTACACAGGCAGCCTAAATCGCGGTTAGCGTAACTGTGGTTACGTGTAACCACGTTTCGCTTATGTTACATGGTACAAGAAACTGTGGTTGTGCCACTAACGACGGTTGTAGCAGACCGAGCTTGGCAACCTTGGTTTGGCGGGTAACCAAGCAAATGGTGGCGTCCATGAAGATGCTGTCAGTCACCTTAAAGGCCAACTCCGGTGATTTTTCGACCACGTCAAGGTAATGGTGTTTCTATGTTCCTGAGACGCTCTTGTCACGAGCCCAATAGCTGAAATGCTCGGGAAATTTGAAAATAATTTTTAATGAGCAAAAAGGTGCAACACCGAAACCAAAACCCTACCAGGCGTCCTGTCTGCGTATGACGTACTGTTTGGTAAGAACCAGAGGCCATATATTGGTCGCGCCAGCGCGGAGTATGAAAACTGTGAAAGCCAAACCAGCGAAGCGCTAGCCAAACACGACAGAGGAAGGAAGAACGCTTTCCTGTGCTACACCTGTGCCAAACACCGCCGCTGTCGCCTTGTGACTGGCACAATAAACGCTGTAGCGGCCGAAGTAGCGATGCCATCGGCTGCATCGATTCCGTCGGCATGCCAAACATGACGTCACACAGACAGTGTTGCCAATAACTCCGACAAGAGAGGTGCGCTTTTCGAGGCAAGCTTTAAAATAACAATCAGCGCGTCTCTCAAGCCCGTAATTTGGCATAAATGACGAAAAT